GGGGGGGGGGGGGGGCTTCAAACAAAACTAAGGCACGAGGATTCTTTCAGCACCTAAGGCAAGGCGAGCTGAGCGACCATCCCGAAGCCGTCCTGAAGCGAAGCCCATTGACAAAGGTACAAAGGAGGAGTTGAAGGTGGCGGGGAGAAGCGGGGGACGGCTGGCTGGCCAGTCGCTCGGCTCGCCTTGCCTTGTCATGTGTGCTGATGCCGGTACCGGGCCGCCGATCATTTTGTGATGCCGGTACCGGGTCGTGGCACAAAAAAGATTGGGGACCACTGCTTTAAAGGCATTGTTGCAAACTAGCATGTAGCGCTTTGTGAAATGCTAGCTTCATGCTTTTGATTAGAGCCCTGGCAGCACAGTGGTTAGAATGCAGTATTGCAGGCTAATTCTGCTGTCTGCCAGCAGTTCGATCCTGACCGTCTCAAGGTTGACTCAATCTTCCATCCTTCCGAGGTTGGTAAAATGAGGAGCCAGATTGTTGGAGGAAATATGCTGGCTCTGTAAAACCGCTTAAGAGACCTGCTAGGTGTAGAGGAAGCTATAATCATATGCACACAGCAAAAACATCTCAATGACCAAAACATGATCTTCCTTTCCTTGCTTCTCCCAAGTATTTCCAAGATTACCAAGCATTGATTTACTGTCTTTTTTTTTTCTTTAAAAAAATAACCTTGGACTGAAACCTTGTAAATCTGCAGGGTTACCTTTCAATAGGTAGCAGGGGAAAAATGAGATTAAGAACGTTACTACTCCTTTTTAAAAAATAATAATGCAAGATTAAATGACCACCGCTGAACTCCCTGGAGAAAGAGAGATACCTGAGGGCGCCTTTTATTATCTTTCATAAAAGGCAAAATTTCCTTAATGGTTTTGCCCTTTTGACTCAGAGGGCATTGAAGGAAAGAATCTCAGTCATTTTAACACTATGTTTTCCTGCTTGTATCTGCAACATCTTCCCTGTCAAATTGCAACACCTGCTTCTGAACAGCCCTGGCCTAAACCACCTGGCCTTTAGCAAAAGTGCTGCATTAACCCATTTCGCCTTTCTGCCTGCTGTTAACTCTGGCATCCAGTCATGAAAAAAAAAAATAGTCCATCCTTAGCTTAAAACAATGTCAACCAGTCACAAAAAGGATGCCTGTAATATTGTCCAAGAGTCCAAAACAGCCTTAGCTGCCTTCTCTGCCCAGTTAGGTGGCGGTACCTATTCGGTCTTAGCTACTTTCAGAAATAATACGCAGATGGGACAACACGGAGGAATGCTGGAGTTACCAGCCTGATTTGAAAAGAAGTAAATGCTGGAAGGCAGCCATGGGAAGCCATCCAGTATCATGTCCAAAAAAACTGCAGGGATGCAGGTGCCCAGAACCAAGCCTAAATGCCTCCTTTATCTCTCTATCCCATCCTCTCAAAAGCAGCCCGTGGCCCAAGGCTGTCTGTAAAACCAGGCTGCGTGCAGCCAAATGCCGAAAGGGTAACTCTAGCTGGTTCTATTTAATGTGAGGTATGTGCTCTTTCTTTGAAAGACATGTGGGAGTTTTGGTTAAAAAGACCAGGTTACAACCTTTAAGCTCCACGGAAGCATAACTTTGCTGGAAGTGATACAGAAGCCCTCGGGGTAGACTGAGAAAGATGACTCATTCGTTCTTTTCACTCTTGATACGCCTTCATAATTTCAGTTTGGCGGCCTTCCTGCAAAGTAATGTTCAGGTTCCAGTCCTACAGCTGTTTCCTACCGGGCCCACCTGTCAAACAATGTTTTTGATAAGAGCAGATCAGTGGTGGGATTAGAAATTTTTTACTACCAGTTCTGGGGCATGGTGTGGCTTGGTGGGTGTGACGAGGAAGGATACTGCAAAATCCCCATTCTCTCCTCACCTCAGTAACCTGCTTTCCAGCTCTGTTCTCTTGTGCAGGGAAACCAAAGAAGACCCAGCCGATCAGCTGGGACTCCAGAGGCAAAGAATAGATGGGGGCCAGTCAGAGGTGGTATTTGCCAGTTCTCTGAACTACTCAAAATTTCCGCTATAGGTTCTCGTCATAACTGGCTGATTAGAGGAATGTAAATCCAGAGAAATGTAGATCAAGAATGGAGGAAAGCCTAGATGAGACCTATAAATAAGGATTTCCAGAATTATACCCAGTGCCGGAAAGAAACAAGGTTCATTCCTGGATGTTGTTTTTTTTAAGTACCCAAAGTGAGTTCCTTGGGCCAATCTGATGTGAGAACAAGTTTCTTAAATGATGACCCATCCAGGAACTCCTCTATTATCTCAGTATTACTCAACAGGGAACTGGCCCCTGATTTTAACGGATACAAAAATCAAGCACATTAAATAACAGTTCCCAACAGTCAGTAAATGGTCTGTTCAGGGCAGTTCTGATGCTCAGAATTCTTAACTTCTACACAAACAAGTTATGAATGGTAAGCAAAAGTCAGGTAGATGGATTAGGTTTCTCCTGCATCCAAAACAATATGACAATCAGGACGGTCCACTGAACGAAAGTAAAATTCATTTACACTGGACAACCTGCTCTTTTTCAGTCTAAAAACTCAGTTTTTTCAACAGAGTTAACAGAGATGAAATCTGTCTTATTTGACTGTTCCTTTTATAAGCAGCTGAGACTGACATGAAAAAGAATGAACTTAAGAAAGTATTAAAAACAAGAACTATTTAAAGAAAGGCAAAGGTCTTCCTTTAAATAGTTCTTGTTAGTTTATTAATACTTTCTTAAATACATTCTTTTTTCATGGCAATCTCAGCTGCTTCTTAAAGGGACAATCAAATAAGCCAAATTTAGTCCTGCAGCTAAATTCTCCAAGAAAAAGTGTTCATAGTGCTATTCCAAAAAGGTGACATCGCATCCAGCTGTATGCAGTTCAAAGCCAAAAGCATGCCCTACAAAGCCCAGATGGAACAAACTCGGGGCTTAAAAAAATATATCCTGTTTTATTTGCTCCTCGATGGGAATGAAGGCTCTCTTGAGTTTCATACCAACTGAAATCTGACCGTGTGCGTAAGGGAACTTCCAGACTTTCAAAAAGCTTGATGTTGGAAAACACACATTATTTTGCCTGGGTGAAGAATGCATGGATTTGCTGAGCTAGGCTGCGGCCAACTACTCCTTCAAGCTCCTGGAGAGAAGCGTTGCAAAGCTGGTGGATATTTCCAAAGTTTTCCAGAAGAAGAAGTGCCTTGGTCTTTCCAACTCCTGGAATCTGCTGGACTGTATGGAGCACAGACGGTTCCAATAACCTGGTACATTTCTTACTTTGGAAAGGATTACTGGCTTTCGTTTGCTCGTGCACCTGAAATGGAAAGTCAGATTTAGTCTGGCTGCCCTCTTGTGGTTTTCGGTGATAAATATTTACAAGCATGTCTGGACTGACAATTAAGCCTAAAATGTATGTTGCTAAGGGAAACCTTTGTTAAAAGAGTTTTGCTGCATTTTACGACTTTTCTTGCCATGGTTGTTAAGTGAATCATTGTAGTTGGTAAGTTGGTAACCTGTTTGTTAAGTGAATCTGGCTTCCCCATTGACTTGGCTTGTCAGAAGATTGCAAAAGGGGAACCACGAGACCTTGGGACACAGCAAACGTCATAAATATGAACCAGTTGTTAAGCATCTCAATTTTGATCATGTGACCATGGGGTGCTGCAATGGTCATGTGAAAAACGGTCGTGTCACTTTTTTTCCCAATGCCGTTGTAACTTTGAACAGTCACTAAATGAATTGTTGTAGGTCGAGGCCTACCTGTAATTCAGAAAGATTGTTGGTTATAGGATGGTCAGCGCTTCGGCGGCAGAATGAAATGTGGCATTTGGGGCTGGGCAGGATCATAGAGCAGCAGTCTTCATCTTTTTATTGGAAATAAATGTAGCTAGTTTAATGAGTCACAGGTATCGCACTCAAGGTTCTGAGCATTTTGAGGTACTTCCTCCAAATCTAATAGGAGTCAAACATCCCTAGTTTTGAAATTATTTTGCCGCCTCAAATCGAGGCCTGTCTAGTCCAGAACTCTGTTTCCTGCAGAGCCACTTAAAACATGAGAAGCTCTTGTACACCAGTTCTAATCTGAAGTCCACCCTTCATAAAATTGTCAACTTTGAAAAGCACCGCTTTACAGCCTGATAGCAGTACAAACAGCTCTTGAAGGTACTTACCAATTGAGCAATGAGTTGAGCTGCTTCTTTTTGGCTGGCCACCGGAAGTAATGTCATTCCAAGTTCCAGGACGACAAATTTCTGCACTTCTGGAAAATACTGGTTACTTATTTGGGTTTTTTCAACAAATACAATGCCTTGAAGATTGCAAGTCTGGAACAAGTAGGAACAATGAGAGTAACAGGTATTAATGACAGGGACAAACCAACAAGTCAATTAGGAGCAGCTGGGAAAGTTTTAAAAAATGTGATTTCTTCACTCTTTCTCCCCTTCAATCCACTCAGTCATGCTGCTTAAAATCACTGGTTAAAGACTGTTCTTTCCCGAGATAAGAGAATGGAAATGGCTGGGTTGACATCATTCAGATCAGTGCATAAGAGAACCATAATACACCATATAACGGCCATTAATTCCTAAACTTTTCCTGCAACAGCCAATTAGGTACAGATGAACCAGTTAGAGCTTTCTATAAGCTGAAGATAAATACAAAGCTATGCCTAGGCAAAATATATTTTTGTTCCTAAAGCAAAATCGGATCATTTCAAAAAGGAAATAGCAACGCAAGGAAGGAAGGAAAACGCATAGAATCCTTGGATTAAGAATTTAAAAAATACTTCTTAAAATGGCGGATTTGGGTTGCTGGTATAATTACTAAATCACAGTGCATGGTACTAAAGATTAGATTCTCCTTGAATTGTGATGAATTGATCTAATGTTTTGCTGACATTCTATTCCTGAAAAGGATAATCCAAACGATACTTTCAAGAGTATGTGTACTTACATTTCTAAAACGAACAAGTCTTCTTTTGAAGCCATTTCCTGCCACCAGATCTGCTTCAGAAATGTAAAGGATGCAGCACCCGTTTGAAAGATGAAAGTCCACGAGACCCAGGCCATCTTCTAGAATAAGCTTAACTTTCCCTTGAAAAATGAGAAGCATGGAAACTTTACTAGTGGCACAACTATTGTAGGTACACAATTCTGGCTGAGTTTGTATATCCTCCTAAGTTTGATTTTAACATATTGTGTGAACCCAACCAATTCTATGTTTAAACAAATAATGCCCGAACACATTCTGAAAATCAAACTGTTGTTTTATCTCCAAGTTCTAAGTAAGTAATTCAGAAGAAAATGCCAATGGTTTAAAGAGTGATCATTTCCAAATATGTTTAGCCCTACAGAGTGAAAGTATGCATTTAAATCAGACTTTAACATCTGGCTTGTCACGTTCCATTTATAGTATATAGCGCTGGCATTCAAATGAATGAGAATTAAAACGATCTGGTAAAAATAATAAAATAGTCCTTGTGATCTAGTGATATCTTCAGATTATCCTAGCTTAATAAAATAAGACATCCTAATTTTTCTGGCTGTTTAGATAACCTATTTACCTTTTGGATGTTAGAAAAACTATAATTAAGAGCTCCAGACCAAACCAAGATATTAATTGATACTTTGATTTGATGAAAGCCATTCACTTCACTATCCTAGTTCAAAAAAACCCCCACTAAACTATACTGAACATCTAAAAACAGGCAATGCATCTATCAGTTTCCTTTTACAAAATAAAAAAAGTTGGGTGACGAATATATTTAAATAAATATGTTGGTTTAATTTTCAGATTTTAGGATGAACTGATGGTAAGCAAAATTCTGTAATTTTATCCAAGTACAATTTACCTTGCATCTCCTGAGCAACCTGGGAGCCCTTCCATTTCTCGTGGCCAATCACATGGCCCAAAGGAACATTTATAGCTCCTGCTCGGACTGGGGTGCCATCATTTGCCATTATTAAACTTCCTTCACACACGTAAGGTTATTTGTCCTGTGCAAGAGAAACCATTAACCTGTTATTGTGAAAATGCAAAAACTATACATTTCTCATTAACCAGGGATTGCCCATGAAATCCAGGTGACTTCCAGATGAACAGTTTCCAGAGGGCTGTTTTCCCAGCCTCTGAGATGGAGGATTGGGGCCAGAGGTAGCATTCAGCAGGTTCTGGGGAGCCGGTAGCGGAAATTTTGAGTAATTCGGAGTACTGACTGGCCGTGCCCCCATCTATTCTCTGCCTCCCAAGCTCCCAGCTGATCGGCTGGGTCTTCTTTTGTTGCTCTGCACAGGAGAACGGAGCTGGAAAGCAGGTTAGAGGAGCGGGGAGGAAATGGGGATTCTGCAGTATCCTTCCCCCTGCCATACCAACCAAGCCACAACCACAGAACTGGTAGTAAAAATTTTTTGAATCCCACCAGATTGGGGGCCCTGCTGGTTACATGAAATTTGTTTTATATGCTGATTGGATCCACCATCTGTTTACTGTAGATTTCAGTGTTTATACTGCTTTGCATTGTGAGTTGGCTAAAGTCAGCTTGGAATCAGGTGCTGAAACTGAGTAAGGTTGGAAACTCATCAAGGAGAGAAGCAACCTAGAACTAAGGAGAAATTTCTTGATAGTGAGAACAATTAATCAGTGGAATTCTTGCATCCTAAAAGTTGTGGATTTTCCATCGCTGGAGGTCTTCAAGAAGAGACTGGACAGCCATTTGTCCAGAATGGTATAGGCCAGGGTCTCCTGCTTCAGCAGGGGGTTTAGAATTTTAGAAAAGAATAGAATAGAGCCGGAAGGGGCCTTGGAAGGTCTTCTAGTCCTATGCCATTTCAGACAAGTGACTGTCTAGTCTCTTCTTAAAAGCCTCCATCCACAACTTCTGAAGGCAAGCTGTTCCACTAGTTTATTGTCCTCCCTGTTAGTAAGTGTCTCTTCAATTCCAAGGATTGCTTCCCCCCTTGATTAGTTTCCATCCATTGTTTCTTGTCTTGCCTTCTGGTGCTTTGGAAAATAAATTGACTCTTTGTGGCCGCCTCTCAAATGGTTGGACTACAAGACCCCCGGGGTCCCTTCCAACTCCGTTATTCTGTATTCCGTTCCGTGAATAACAGCCAATCTCTTGGGGACTATGGACAAAAACCAGTTTATTGCTGATAAATAATTCACATGTACATGTGAATCAATGCAAAACATTCTTCTTACCTTTTCATTTAAAGATCCTGCACAGCAATGTCCAAGAACCTACAATGCCTTAAAATACACGTGCGAACGTGCACATACACGCAAGCAAACCCGCGAACGCAAACCAAGAGAGGCTCCCATTCATAGCTGGAAGCACCAGCTATAGTGAGTAGTTCCTACTTCCGCCTTTTTCCAACAGCGCGCGGCAGCCATGACGTACTTGCTGCCGCCAGCCAATCAAAACCCTCCTCTCTTTTCCTCCAGCCCCTCCCGGGGAAAAAAAGAATAGCTCGCCAGGAGCGTGGCGATTCCTAACGGACGCGGGTTGCTAAGGCGAAGGGGGCCTCAGTAATGCCGATGTCGATTGGATAAAGCGGGACGGAGCAACCAATCGCCTTGCGGCTAATTGCGGAGTGGTTGCGAGGGGAAGCGTCTGCATCTTCGGGAGGGGAGGGGGCAGCCGCTCCCTCTGGCCGGTGTGGCCGGTTGTGGCTCCCAGCTTCGTTCTCGTTTGTTTTTGTTCGGTTTTTTTTCCTCCGCCTTTTCGCCCTCATGCCGTTTTATTTCAGGAGGGGCCGGAGAGGCCTGTTTGTGAGTATTTCCCTGGGGTGGTAGTGGAATTAATGGTTCAAGGGGGAGGGAAAGTCAGAGGAGAAAAAGCGCGGAGGATGAGCCGGCGGTCCCTGATGGGAAAGCGTGGCTCCGGTTCCCATGGCAACCAGGGGGCTGGCTCCTCCCGAGCATCCCAGGTTGGATCTGGAAGGAGGGACCAGAAAGGGAGCAATGGAACAGCCTGCCTCTTGGAGTTGCAGGGGCTCCATCGCTGGTGGTTGAATGCTGGGCAGTCATTTGTCCAGCATGGTGGGAGGATTTCTTCTGCCGTGGGCAGAGGGATGGACTAGAAGACCTCCAAGGTCCCTTCCACCCCTATGATTCAAGGGAGGCAGTTGGGAAAAGTTCACCTTTTTTTGGCCTGGTGACAATGACTCCCATTGCCAATGTGCTGTGACAGTTTCCCAGTCACTTGTGCAATCCCTTGCTCCCTCTCCCACCTGGCAGTTGTCATCTTCCTGGTGGGACAGGAAGGGAAAGAGAATGGGAGAAAGGGAGGAAAGAACACCCATGCATCCTTCCTGACACACACCATCACCCCCTGGGTGCCTTTCGTAAGCCTCGTGACTTCTTCTCTGTACCTTAATGCACTTACCTGACCTGTGCTACCTCCCCGGGGTACCTTCTCTGTCCTATGCAGCACCACTTGGACACCTTTATGCATTCTCCCTGATCCATTCTTCCTGACTCATGGTACTTTTCATGGACCTCTGTGTGTCCTCCTCAACTCGCAGCCTTTCCGACCCATGCTGCCCCTCCCCCAATGCTTTCTCTGACCCGCACACAACCTCTCATGCATTCTTAGGCACCCTCCCCAACCCGCATTGCCCCTCCCCCCCACATGCCTATCCAATCCACCTCAATCCTTGGGTTACTCCTCTCTGACCAAGCCAAAGTTAGATGACCAAACCAAACATTGATTCTGGTTGTTCCAAGAGGTAAGTCGGAGTTCTTGATTTGCATGTCTTGATAAATAAATGATGAAACTGACTAGGTATGTTAACTGCATTTGGTAGAAGGAGGAAAAGATAGCTATTAGCTTTCATGGAGATTCTTATAGAAAGATTGTCATCTGAATCTAGGGAAATTACCGTATATAAACAGAATAGCTGTTTTATTGGAATATGATATTTTCTACTGAATGAACATTTCAAAAATTACATTGTAATCCAAGAATCAGATGTGTATGAAAATAAATACATAGAATATATAATAAAAGTTATAGTCGGTAGCCACAGGATAACTCTTATTTTTATGGCAATATGGTCGTTTTGCGCATCACATTCAAAACCATTTAGGCTTACCACATACATTGATTTGCATGTTCATGTTCCTTTCATGTTATTCATCCTTGTGCATGTACACTTTTGTGTTTCTCCATTGTGTTAGTTCAATCATTGCCAACTAACTTTATTTTAAATTGTCTAGAAACATATAGCTCATGGCCTGATCCCTGCAGCTACCATAGCTCCTAAACCTGCTGTCCCCCGCACCCCTCCCCCTCGTAGTCCAAACCCTTCTCCAGAAAGGCCCAGGTAGGTTTTTCATCTCTTGATTTGCAGTCATGTAATAGAATTAATATTATTAATTGATATCTGAATATTTGGAATGGTTTATCTTGCCTGTACATTTGTATATACCAGACATATGTATGATTACGTTTGAAAGACAAACGGGTACCTCATATTTGCATGTTATATAATTTAAAGAGGTTTTCGGCAGCTTTGAACACAGTCTACTTGATAGTACAAATGTTAGCTGGTCTTTGAAATACAAAAACAAAACAAAAAAGACTTTCTTCCAAAAATGTATAGATCATAGCCAGCTTAATATTATCATATGGGCTGCAGCTATGTTCTTATTATTTTTGGAGAGATTCAGACTCCTTACATCACTGACAAATGTTGTTTTATTACTGTAGATAGCAATTATGCCTCCATTGCTATCCAAATATTTGGTACTTTTGAAAGGTGACTGTATATTGGCCCATTGTTGCTTCAGCTGGAATCCTTCTTTGCATGGGAGCATGTGTATATACAATAAAATGCAGATGGAGAGAGAGTATAAACAGCGGTGGGATTCAAAATTTTTAACAATCAGTTCTGTGGGCATGGCTTAGTTGGTGGGCATGGCTTGGTGGTCATGTGACTGGCTGGGCGTGCCAACTCAATATCACTTACATCGAGGCACGCATCTCCTTGCCTGGCCTCTCATGGCTGTGGGGATGCTGCAACAGTCGTAAGTGTGAAAAATTGTCATAAGTCACTTTTTTCAGTGCCATTGTAACTTTGAATGGTCCCTCCACACAAACAAAGTACCAGCAAAGGAAGGGAAAAAAAAAACCCAGAGAAGTTCCTGAGACAGGAAGTCTAGTCCTGCAAAGAATGTAATAAGGATTAACGGAGAGGCAGTTTCTGTAAGCAACACCAGAATGTTTCCTTCCTGCCGTCTTTACAGGATTAGGCCAGTCATTTCTTCTAACAACTGGTTCTCTGAACTGCTTAGAATGTTAACAACCGGTTCTAGCGAATAGGTGCGAACTGGTAGAATCCCACCCCTGAGTATAAATGCCAGTGCAGCTGAAAGTAGGAAATGTGGCTTCCTGTGTAATAAACTTTGCATTGTGGTTGAGATTAGAATTTAGCTTACTAAGATTAAAAATAATAAACTAAGTGAATTGTTTTGATTACTCCTATAAGAATTTAGAAAAATGATACGGTATTATTGGGTTGAATTGATTAAATCCAGCAGTGGATTTAATAGATCCAATATAGGTGATCAGCAGCACATGCAACACTTAACACAGTTTGCCATACTTTTCTATTGTAGAGAAACATTTCTTCTTTTGTGTGTGTGTGCGTTGTGGGTGTTTCCTCCATTATTTCAGATAGTTGAAACCATGTCATGTTTTAACATTCATATACATATGAATGTACAACCTGGACCTTCCATGTAAATAGTCTTATAGCCTGTTGAAAAATATGTGAGTAGCTATATATAAAGCTGGCTCTTTTCCCAGAGCTGTTGAAAGAAAACACTAGATTCAGGAAGCAATTGTATTAAGATGTATGTTTTATTTAATTTAACTTATATTTTGAACTCATTACGATTAAGTGTTTTACTTATCTTATCCCATCCTCCTGATCCGTGATTTTTTTTTTTAATAATTTTTTTCCAGGTCTGCTTTAGCAGCCGCTATTCTTGCAACGACCTTAACTGGACGAACTATTGCCATCCCTCAGCCTCGTCAGCGATCTCTTTCGGAAAGTGATGCTAGCTACTTGCAAGATCAGGAAGACTGTATTGAACCATATGCCACTGTCACTGAGCTACGAATGAGGTAGAAAATATTGCACATTTCGGCACATCTAATCCAATGGTATAAAATAATTTATTCTCTAGCAAGGAAGTCCGAAGTTCCAACTTGTTGGAACAAGTTGGACAACAAAGTTCCAACAGGTCAAGTGTAAACTGCAGTCTATGTGACTGCCACTTTTATACATTTTTCTTTCTTCCCTTTTTCTGCTACAAAATGATTCTAAAAATAACAACTTTTAGCAGATCTAAATCTTGGAAACTGCACTTTAAAAAAAGAAAGTGTCAGAATAAACAGATTTCCCAAATTCTGAATATTGTAGCCAGTTGTAGTTTGTGTATTTCTTAAAACACCATAAACAAGCTTTCTTTGAAAAGCACTTCTGGTTTGAGATTGGCAAATATTCAGAAGAAATGTCTGACTAGTAAAAGCATTAATATGAGAAGCACTGTGAATTTTTAATTGCCTGTAAAGTAACATTTCTTTTGTTTTGTTGACTAGAAAGTATATCACACAGAAAAGCTCAGTTTAAAAAAACCCCTATATTCTTTTTAAAAATCATTGAGTACTTAATACAATTATTTTTTGTTAAATACATATATTGGATTACACTTTTAGTATTTTCTGTTTATAGTCCAAATTGGAAGAATGATGGTGGTGAAAGGAATGCTGTGCAAACTTTGGAAGCGCCTGCGAGTTGTTGTGAGGATGACATGGATACATTCACTTCTGACACAGAAAAAGAATCAGATCCCGACCGTCAGATTATTAATAAAAAAAAAAACAGGAGTCATGAGATTATGTATGCCATGCCACATAAAATCAAACACGTAAGCTTTCAACATTTTTCTTTTAGCTACCTGAGCATAAATTATAAGATTCCCCATCCTTGTTTTCCCTGCAGATTTTCTATTATGTGTTCCTTAAGAGATTGTAGCATTCTTTTTTTTAAATAATCATTTTTATTTTATTCAAGAAATTAAAATATAAACTTCGAAAAAAATTTACAAAGACAAAACGTGCATTAAAAAAGACAAATATACATATTCTCCCCCTCCCCCGAGTTGGATACTGATCGATGTATTGGTGTAAATAAGAGTAGCTTCCCTCCCTTGCAAAAGAAGCCTTCTAAACTCCTGCACATCTATCTGCAACCAGTTGACCTCTCACCTATCTGCTGTATATATAAAGAAAGACAGTTAACACACTAAACTTCAAAGCCCTCTGTTAACAGTGTTGTCATTGTGCTTAACTTGCACAAAGCGATTAGGGCATTCTTGTAGAGGAGTCCGAGCTGTTCCAAAACAAAGGAGCAGCCAACTAGAAGAGCCACCTACGTCCCATAAGTGGTGTCCCATATAGAAAAGGACCTTCAACAGATAGTCTCTTCGTACTCAGGTTTCAGTATTTGCTTGGGATAGGGAATCTCTAAGGTGGACAGGAGTAATTTTTTTTAATATTAAGAGGTACCCTAACCCAGCAAGAGTTTTTAAATATTTATTTATCAATAGCACTTAGGCTTATATACCTTTTCCTAGTGCTTTACAGAATCAGCCTATTGCCCCCAACAATCTACGTCCTCATTTTACCAACCTCGGAAGCATGGAAGGCTAAGTCAACCTTGAGCTGGTCAGGATCAAACTCCTGGCTGTGGGCGGGATTTAGTATTGCAATAGTGCATTCCAATCACTGTGCCTCCACAGCTCCTATTTCCTTTCACTATCCATTAAAAACTGTGAGGAAATCATAGGGTCTGTTGTTTCATGGTTCAATTTGAGCATGAGGGATGCTTTCACAGGACATAAAAGGCTCAGGAGGCTGCAGTTTGTTATGTCTTGTTTAATGTGCGTTCAAGCACGTACTGTACATTACACCCACAATTTGTCCTTTCATGTGTTTTGGGTTTTCCTCTTTTTAATCAATGTTCTGTTTTTTTAATGACATCGTCAGCTGCCTAGAACCTTTTGGTAACATCAGTTTCTATAATGTATTGCAAAAATTTTATTTAGGAAAATCTCCAAGTATCTTCTAGTGCCAATGGTGAAGAAGATTCTTTTGTCTGCGAACCAAGTTGTCTCATCCAGCCAAATGTTCAGATTGAAGGTGAGAAATGAGCATTAGGATTAAGGAGAAAATAAATATTTCTACCATCTGTTTCCCACCTTTAGTGTTGTTTGATTTAGTACTGTAGTTCAGACTCTGATAATTTTTCCCTCCATGTGGGGAAAGACTGCATAGTTGACAGTGAGAGAGAACCTGAATCCAAATGAACCGGACAAGAGTGACTATATCTTAACATATATTTCTTTTCACCTTTTTCCGTGAATAGAGCAAAAAATAGCATTTTATAAAAACCCTCATTGCACAAACCTCTGTTTTCCTAACCTTTTACACTTGCCAAGATATTTATTTAAGATAAAGGTGGAAAAAATAGAAACTAAATGAGATGAAACTAGACAGATCATGAAAGCTCAAGCTTGATTAGGAACATTTGATAGATTTCTCTTTTATACCTCAAAACAAATACATTTTTATATTACAGAAATTGAACATCCTGGAGTGAGGTTTAAGGTAAGAACAGCATAAAAATTATGTTCCATTTTTATTTAAGCGATTGAATCTAGAATTTTTTTTAAAAAATTTTTAAAGAACTTTCCAGGTTAGAACTAAAGAACATCAATTTTAAATGTTCAGTGTATACCTTTTGGAATAGTTGCTGATATTTTGTGGGGAGAAATGAGGAGTCCTACAAGAAATTAGGTCAAATATTTTCTTCCATTTCTAGGGAGACAACTCAGGTGAAACTCCCCTGAATAAAATACCACCTTCGTCTTCAGGTACAAACTCTCTAAATTTAAGTTTAATGTAAATGAGTTGTGTTGGATTCTACGTAATAGATTGAGTGTAGTTCTGAGCCATAATTTAATCTAACAAGAATTTGGGACTTGTTTATTTCCCTGTGTTGTTAACATAAGCTATTGTTGAGATTTGGGTAAAATGCTAAACCGTGGAATCTAAAATGGAAATGGAGGTTGCTGTGTATGCTAGAAAAATACTGTATGTTCCCTGCATCTTTTGTTTTCTGCTTTAACTCCAAAGTACTGCACTCTGTATATTTTGTATTAATAATAGCCCCAGTCTCAATGTACATCCGGTCTCACCATAAGATTTTTAGAGGTTGAAGAGACAGTAAATTGTTTCCCACAAAATAAAAACATAAAAATCTATTGCAGTTTACAATTGAATTAAGATACGTCTTGTGTAACTTTAATAATTATTAATGTTATAAGTATCTTCAAGCTACTGGAGTGGATTAAGTTGAGACAGAAGCCTTTTCATAAATGCAAAATGCCTGCTTCTAAATAAAGATTCTTAGAGTACAGGCGTTTTACCAAAAGGTTTGCATATATTTATGTGACTGATAAATATTTTATTTCATTTCTTGGGTAGATGCAGTCCTCCACAGAAAACAGGAACAGATGGTTCTCCCCAGAGAGAAGTTCCAGAAATTAAAAGAACAACATTGGCATCTAAACAATGCAAACCAGACCTTGTTTTCCGAACTTGAACAGTCAAAGCAGTTAATCAAGGAACTCCAATTAAAAATTATGAAATTGGAAAAAGAGAACAGACAGTTTAAGGAAAAGCAGAATTCACACAGTGAAGGTGCAAAGGAACCTATTTTCTTTAAATATAATTTATGGTGTTCATGTGGGAGAGAATAAAACTATATATGTGGGAATCAAGGGAAGAATGGTTGAACTTTATCATTCTACATGTACCATTACTTAATATATCTGGCAAACTTAGGAAAGATATGGGGGAAATGATAAGTTAGAATGTATTTAACTGGAACTAATTGAGATGATAAAAACAAATGGTAATGTTTTGTATCATATTTAAGAAAGCACCTTGAAAATTAACTGAGTTAGTAACCCAATGTTTGTCCTATGACTCTCCTCTTCCAGAATTTATGTCCCAAGAAATGCATTTCTGAATGAGCAGGTCAATTGGATTGTTTGGGAAAATTTTTTCCATTTTGCTGTGGGTTCCTCTGCTGGGTCCAGGTTTTGTTGTTGTTGTTGTTGTTTTAGATCCACTTTGAAAGTGCTTTTATGCACTTCCTCACATCTTAAGGCTGGCATTTGAAATACACTGATTTAACTTGTCATTCCAGTTCCCCCCCTCAGGATAGGATTCTTTGAAGCATGTCATAAAAATATCAAGGACATTTGAGCAGGTTGCCTTTGATGGTTTCATCCTTCCCAAAATGAGGACATCATCATCACATGTCAGTTGCAATGGAACACTCTGCTCCTTATTCTCACCTGATTTAGATTTAGGCTATTTTTTTAAACGTAATTTCCAAAATTACGTAATATCCATCCAGGCAGGTTTGATCTTCTGGACCCCTAGGTGTGGGTTTTTAGGGGTCTTACGCAGAATTTCCACCCCCATCATCTGCTGCCTGGTCCTTTAATTGGCTCTACCTAGTATCTTCTTCATATAAAGTATCTGCTCTTGCCATTGACCAGTGGTCCCAAGTTACATGCATAGATTTTGTCATGCGGTCCTTTGGATTTGCGTTATATTTTATAGCCTGCACAATTTTTTAGCTTTCACGATTTATTCCTGCCCATGAATCTTCTCATTTATACAATCTCAGACTAGCAGCAAAATAGGCGTATTAAATTGCCATATATAGCTCCTGAATTGCATTTTGTTTGGGGATTCCTAGTTGTACATGTGAATTTTAAATAGTTTTATGGAATCGCCATATCTTTAAAGAAGTTCAATTTGATCATCCAGCATTCGGCTTCAGTTAGATTTTGGAGATGTTTTAGTAATATGCACCTGGTTATAAAATTTAATCTGTTTTTTTTTTTTGTATTAATCCAGAGGAAGGCGCAGAATTGCTGTTATTAAGACAACAAGCCCAGGAACTAGTAGATGAAAATGATAGTTTGAAAATGACTGTTCATCGCTTAAATGCAGAACTAAGTCGTTATCAAACAAAGTACAGACCAATTTCCCCCAATGAGGTAATGTTTTCTCAAGATTGTTTAGAATATAGTATCTTTAGTGTTTAAGCATTCCCAGCTTATTGGTTCTAGTAAAAAAGACATTCACCTCTCTTTAACAGCAATGTTCTAGCTTGGGTATCATATATTCTCTTTTCCAATGTGACCACAAGAAAGGCTTTCAAAATTTTCCTCCGTGTTGTTGTTATTGTTAGTGATAGTTGCTGTTATTTTGATAATACCTTTTCCCCTTATTGTAATTTTTATAGCCATTTACAACAGAACAGTTACTTCCATCACCCGCACAATAAAACTAACAATGTATAAATTTAACAGAGTCATTAAAATAGTGAAGAGAAGAAAAATGTAACCAAACACCAATCTTTATTGCAACATTAACACAGAAAAGTGGTACATCTTTAGCAGGTGCCTCAAAGTTTAGTTATAGTACCAACTATGTACTATAGTTTTGAAGCCTTTCATGAAGAGAGAGCATTCCTGTAATGGTATGTGAGAATGACCTATGTCAGATGAAAGGCAGCTGAGCCTCTTGCTGTGCCTGAATTCTTACTGTGAGCTCCGCTGCCTTTTATCTGACTGGTCCCTTGGCTGTGTCTTTTTTGCCCTGTCTCCCAAGCACATGTACCATTCCAATCCCAGAGTTCACTGCCATCACAGAGAGATCCTGTCCTCATGGAACTAGAATATGGCATTCTGGTTCACAAAGTTGGTGACCAAAGCAGAGTGCAATGATGATAGCAGTTCCCATGTACCCTGTTTATTGCTCATCCTCATTATGTCTTGACTCTTTAAAGCAGTAGTATCTTTTTTCAGATGAAAGTCTGAAAAAGGATTCTCTACTTTAACAAACAGGGGAAATGCTATGCTTGCTTGACCACTCAGCTATTTCTATCAAATTATTTACAAAGCATATATACTCTTCCTGGTTGCATCCTTGTTTATTTATTTAATCAAGATTATTCATTATAGTTCCTTTCCACTTTCAATTTTAATAGGTGTCTGAGGTTTTGGTTATATTAGTCTGATAGTGATTTTTTTAAAAAAATATACTTCCTTAATGCATAGGTACAGGAGATTGTTGGTACTAATGTGGCTTATATTTTTACTATCTTAAGAGTGTGAAGATTGGAAGTCTGCCAATGAAAAAACCAATACCCCCATGGCTGGTAAGTAATAAGTTAACATTTTTCATTTTATATCATCTGATATGTTCACCGTTATCTGTTTCCAAATTGTAGATGATTAATTATCTTATTGACATCTTAAAATAAAATCTTAAAATATTGTTATCTGATTAGATAATCTTCACTAAAATGTTTTAAGTCTAATGCTGCTATACATTTTAATGGGTTGAAGATTCCTTCTTTATTTTGTTCAGCTTGACATGAAATATTTATCTCCTCTTCTGTTGGCATATGAAGACAGAATGAAAGAAAAGGAAGAGTTGATTCAAGAGCATGAGGCAAGTTAACAGCTCTGTATTTTAAAATCTGTGCAATGCCTTTTGACTAGGAAAGTGTCTGTATAATACAATTCAGTCTAACATATCTTTGGAAATAATGGATTTTTGCAAATCAGTGCTGCCAAGTGTTCAAATACACAATAAGTTTAAAAAAATAAAAGATATGATTCTTACACATAAAAACTAAGTGGTCAAGGAAAATGTCAGGCTGTTTTCTTTCACTTTAGGAGAACTTTCACCTAATCTGCTGTTTAAGAGGGACTACTCTTAAATTACAAGAGTAGGTGCAAGGTTGACTCAGCCTTCCATCCTTGTGAGGTTGGTAAAATGAGGACCCAGATTGTTGAGGACAATGTGCTGACTCTGTAAACCACTTAGGGCTGTAAAGCACCGTGAAGAGGTTTATGTCTAAGTGCTATTGCTATATATATACATGACCCTATAATCCCTTGAGTCGGGGTGACTGAATGGAACCAAGCATTTACTGGCTGGATTCCCTTCCTGATGCCTACGCACAGCTCACAGCAGATATTTTCTCTTTCTGCCCAAAGAAAGAAATTTCTGCTAATACCTACTACTTCACAGCCTCCTGATTGTGAGGCAAGAGCTTCACTTCTAGGCCTCTCACCTACTCTTAAATTTTATACAAACGAACCTTATTTCCCATCCTCAGTCCCTTACCATTTTTTTAAAAATTGACAATTTCGTCTCTGCTAAAGTCCACATTATATTTATAATATAAACTTTGATTGGAGTAGAGCAGTGTGATTATCTGTTGGGATATTTAAAAGACAATAATGACTCAATTTAATGAATCCCATAAGGATCATCTTCTTCATCATAAAATCAAATTGTATTTGTTGAATTTACCATGGTGAATATATGTTTTGTTTTGCTTTTCCTTCAGGAAAGCATGAAGATGTTCAAAGTACAAGTGGAAGAAGTAGTGAAGGAAAACGAGCAGTTACACCAAAAATTAACTAAAAATATTGGTACTTTTATTAGTACCAAAGAATGGTAAGGGTACTATGATTTGAACCTGTTAGATTGTTTCTTTATTGTAATTTGTTTATAAAAACCTACCCAATGACTTTTAGTTATATTAAATCCTGTAAAAATTCAACAATGTTTAAATAAGCAGAAATAATATGATCAGTATACATTGTATTATATTAAACTTATTTTTAAGCTTAAAATAACTATTGCTATTTGGTTATTATTAAGTGGTTATATTTCTTAGTGAAAATTTGTGAATATTTAGTGAATATTTGATAGCGGAAACAGCACATGCCAAGAATGCTGTCCTAAGAGAAATACCAGATTTTGCCTAGAAAAATGTAATTATTCACAATATAACATCTATACAGAGATTTCTCCCATAGGACACATATATTCTAAATGCATTTTGGTTTATTTTATTATTACTATATATTATTTTGAACTCTTTGGAGGAAGGTTTCAGTGCTATTTCAAATTTCAAATCAATGTTCTTTTACAGGCAGCATTTGCAAAGTCAAGCCAAGCTTGTCCTGGAAGAAAATAGAGTGTTAATGGAGCAGCTTAAAATACAAGAAACCAAAGTAAACGACACCATCAACCAACATGTTAAAGAAGGTGAAATAAATTTATCTCTGCACCCAACAAATGTGAATAGAGAGAGATATCAATTTTACCTCCAAAGGTAAAAGTTTTGTAAGCCTGTTTAGAATTACTGGTGTTGATAATCAGTGACTACTATCAATTCAGCCATGAAACCTTTTCAGTTTTGTTTTGGTTTGTAATACTTAGTAAAACTTTGCAGTAGTTGATTATTTAATTTTAATATGGTACACATTCAAGTTTCATCATGGTAAAATGAAACATGGCTATAAACCAGAATATGAAAATCTAAAATAAATAACATTGTGTCATACGTACGTTTGTATTCATTTCAAGTCAGTGTCATCAGCAATATAAAAGAGACAAAATAAAATTTAGAGTTAGAGTTATTTTTTTCACTGTAGTTGCTGGTCCTGCTAATATTTACAGATGTAATGGCATATTTGACAGCAGCTGAACAATTGCACTGATATTACAGAATTGTAAAAAAGGAAGATTTATAGCTAATAGTAGTACTGCAAATTAACATGTAAGAATCACTAGATTGAAATTGGAAAGTATCCATATGAACAAAAATTGTAATCTAATTTTCTCTTTTTCCCCCCCAAATGTTTTGAATTTTGGGCAATCCATAATTTTGGTTTAGTTTCCAAACTGACCAAACAGCTCATTACTCTGGAAACTGAAAAACAAAACCAAGAAGTGGAATTGAAAGATTGTCAGAAAAAGCTGGAAGAATTACGCTCTGCATACAAAGAATTAAAGGCCAGCGTTACTGATTACGTAAGAGCAGAGGAGCACATTGCCTTGGAAAATAAATTTAAAAAGTAAGCGTCTGATTATAAAAGTCCCATTCCTGCCAGTGTGTTTTATGTACTTTTTACAATACTTTGCCATTTTTATGTCTACATTTTTATGTCTACAGCTTTAGACTTTCTGAAGTGGGTTCTTACTGTATGCCAAATGTTTTAATGAAGTGCCTTGGTTATTGTAGCTGCAAGCTGTTAACATTTGCAACGATTGCCATGTCGTCAGAAATATTTATTTCTTTCACTACTGAATCAACCATAATTGATCTGTTCGTTTCTACAAGTTATGAAGATGGATGCCTTGGTTTGCTGCCTGGTTTTCATTATTATTTCTCTAGCCAATTGCAGATAGAACAGGAAAAGAGAGAGATGGAGACCCAGGAACTGGTGAAAAAACTCGCCTCTGTTCAAGCGGAAACAAAGAGCCTGTTTCTTGAGAAAAATGACCTGGTGGCAGAAAACAAGGCTCTAGAAGCTGAGCTGGAAATGGCCCAGAAGACTAAAAGGTTTACTTATTTTTGTTCTTATGCTTTTGGCTCCCTTTTGCAGCCTCTCAGAAAGACAGTTTTTGGTCACTGGGTGTGCAGGTGGCCTGCTTCTTTTAAAATACTGAAAGCTTTTTAAGACTGCATATGATGCAATAATCAAAATAAAGCTAAGACTTGTTTTAAATTGGCTTCATCTTCGTGGTCATCATAGCTGAGAAAAATGTTTTAAAATGTTGTCCTCTTTCTCTTGTCATCTTTCTCATCTTTGTCACCTTGGTCCACTACTTTTTCTTCCCTTACACAGGTAGTCCTCGACTTACAAGTGATTGTTTACTGACCCGTTCCAAAGTTAGAGTGGCACTGAAAAATAGTGACTTATGACCGTTTTTCACCCTTATGACCGCTGCAGCATCTCCATAGTCATAGGATCCAAATTCGGATGCTTGGCAACTGACTCATATTCATGACGGGTTGCAGTGTGTCCTGAGGCCATGCGGTCACTTTTTGAGATCTTCTGACAGGAAAAGTCAATGGGGAGCCAGATTCACTCTCAGGTTGTGTTACTAACTTAACAACCGCGGTGATTGGCTTAACAACTGTGGCAAGAAAGGTCGTAAAATGGAGCAAAACTCACTTAAATGTCTCATTTAGCAACATAAATTTCGGGCTCAATTGTGATCATAAGTGGAGAACTACCTGTAGTAAGCCTGGTATTTTCCTTGCAGTCTTTTCCCAAAGCCTACTACTGGTACTTTTATTAGTACCAAAGAATGGTTAAAGGTGCTATTATTTTAACCGGTTAGGTAGTTTCTTTATGGTAATTCATTAAAAAAAACCTACACAATGACTTTTAGTTATATTAAATCCTGTAAAAATAAAAGTATGCTGTTTCAGTGGGCATTTGATGACTGATTCTTTTAATCGTTTGGTTGAGGTGCTAACCCAAATATAATTTTTTGCAACTCCTTTGTGAGTTGAATCCCAATATTGAATTAAAATAAAATTGAATTGCTCCCTAAGAGATTTTTCTGCTTTCTGCCAAAACCATGCAGGCGGTCGCAGAAGAAGATCAGTCTTTTGAAGCAGCACTTGGAAGAAACAATGGAAAAGGAGATGGCTGCCCACCAATATCTAGTGAATATGATCAGCTTGGCAGAAAATATAACTCAAGAACGTGATCAGCTTTTAAACCTGGTAATCAGAGGAATCAGAGATATGTTTAATATAGAAGCAAAAGCATGGGTGACTCTAGGCCAGTCACTCTCACTCTCTCTCAGCCCAATTTACCTCACGGGGTTGTTGCAAGGAAAATAGGAAGAGAAAGAAGTGTGTTCACCGCCTTGAGTTATTTGTAAAAATAATAAAGGCAGGATATAAATAAAGAAATATATGTTATATTGTCTAAAAGGATCTCAAGAAGCTGGTTTTATGAAGGACCTCTGCATAATATCCTAGGAACCTTTTGTCAGCTACATAATACTGGGTAGAGGATTGTGATTTAAAGTAGGTTCTTATCCAGTCTCTGAACTTACCTGGGAACTTAAAATTTAGTAGAACAAACTTTCCCCTCTAAAGGGGAAAATCTTTTGAGAACTCACCAGTGGCTTTTCTGATTTCCCTAGGCCAGTTGTTTGGAGAAAGAGAAGCATGGCGTTCTCAACAAAATAATAGAAGGAAATGTACGTCTAGGAAAATTAGAAGAGAAAGTCAAGGTAAGCACATCTTAAATATTTGCTGGATATATATAATACGGTATCCATTCAGAGCGGAATCAGAAATGTAAGTTTTTACGAAAACATGGAAGTAGGATAGATTAGAACATGACACTCTGGACAAAACAGGCTGTTTTGTGGCCAGATCATCCTTGGAACCTCTCAAACATTTTTTTTTTTTTTTACAATTCTGGAAATTGCCAAATCTTCCCTGGAACGATGTAGTCCAGAAGTGGGCTCAGCATGGCCTGGAATAGAATGAATTTTGCACATCTGTATCCATAACAAACACTCTTTATTTCCCAAGGCTGGAAATTGACAGTGCTGGGGTTTTAATTGTATTTAGATATACATCTATTCCCAGTTTATCAAGACATGGCTACTTACTAACGAATCATGTGAAACAATGCCAAACTTTACATTACTATTAGTAGAACAAGACGAATTTGAGTATTTGAGTTCTGAATGATGCTTCAGCTGCTTTGACAAAGAAGAAAGATGTGCCCTTTTTCCATTGCCCCTAACAATATAACGTTGCTTGATTGGATTTCAATCCATACAGTCATGTTTATCCATTCTTCTGCTAATGATTATGGTAGTTTTGAACACAGGCCAATGCAGGTTTTGCACTGTTGTTTTCCTATGATGGACCCTGCAGCCAAAAAAATTATTTCTGAAATCCATTTAGTGTCTTGAACATGAGAACCAGAAATCTGTTTTGTTCAGCATTGCCACAGAGCTCAGTCAGATGCTTTTAGGGAATCACAAGCAGAATACATGGAATGCATCATCCTGTGATCTTGTTGCTTTCCAGCAAACCTACCTATCGAATTATTTCAAATATCTCCTCCTGTGATTGCTAACTCGTTCCTCCCTTCGGGAAATATGACCTGCTTGACCAAAGCTTTCTTTTGGATTTTAATTTCATTTAAAAAGCGGTTATAAAAAGTACTCTTATACCAATCATTGTTGAGGAATCCTACTATTCTTAACCTTAAGATCTTTTACATTTGCCACGAGGACACATTTTGAGCAAGAGTGTCACTTCCTTACATATAAAAAACAAACTCCACACTGGTTAATCAGTTAATCACATTTGCGAGTGCAATTTCCAGCTTACACATTTTTATATGACAGCAAAAACAGTTCCCCAGTAAATGTGTGCTTGCAAAGGCCTGTCATTGTAATTTTTCTGCAACAGTTATTGTAATGATAAACTTCATAACCTTTTAACATCACATTACATAAAGCGTTGCCTTTTCAGTTTTAGAAGTCAGTTGTCTATATTCTCTTTCTTTTTCTTAGCCTTAAAATAAATATTTGATTAAAAGTGTCTCCAGACCTGGCTTTGCCGTCAGGCTTGGTGGGGGGTCTCAAAGGGACCAATGAGATCTTGAATCACTGTTGCTGGTTGAATCTCTTGTGTGTGCTTTTTTTAAAACATCTGTTTAACAAGTTTATTGCTTTCTTGGCAATTCTCGGATGCTGAGAAGTAACTGTTGGGCTCAGGGGATATCTGTGCCTCCTTTCTTTCTTCATCTGCTTTCAGGTCCAATTGTCCTTGCGGTTTCTGCTCACTCAACTCAAACAAATACATTTTGACGATTTACTTTAACCCTCTTTCCCCCCATTCCTTCAAAACCGCTTTTTGCTAAAAGTGCCTTCAGTAAACATTCTGTTCATCCTAAATATTGTGGCAAAATAATTGCTTTATCCAAATCTTGACCTAGGCATTGACTGCTTCCTGTGGTTACTTCTCCGTTAAAGAAGTAAATAGCATTCAACATGATGTAGGTTTGACTCAAAATATTTGCGTCATGCCTTTAGTAACCCAAAGACAAGCGAGAGTCTTCTAATAGTAAGAAGCAAGAGGGAGAGATTTCTAGATTTCAGGGATGCTGTGGGTTAAGCAGGTTGCTCAAAGGAGGTTTTTGAAGCTTTGGGGATTGTATTACAGTGGTCAGTTTAGCCTTAGCAGCTGGAACCCAGTCGCAAGTTTGCAGAAGCCCAATTCTGTCGTATGTTTTTATTCATCCCAGTGTATGTAAAGCTAACAGGACGGGATCGGTTTCATCCAGGTCATATAAAGCTGGTGATTTACAAACCTTTGGTGAAATTATCTCTCAATCAATCAGATTTATGCCGGGCAGAAACCATTTTGGCAGATTAAAGGAGCAAAATGGTTGCTCCTAGAAGCATTTGTTTCATTGGTTAAATTCTTCCCCTCCCAGTTTTTTTCACTCTGGCAAAAAACCAAGGGGGCAGAGGCATTAGGTCGTTAATAGAATAACCAGTCGGTACTATGAGCCCTACCACCCCATTTAGTCCCCTGAAAGGATCAGAAACGAAAGCCTTGCCCAATATCACCCGTTACACTCCCCATAACCTCCTGAGAAGGGGTAGCTTCCAAGAAGGTTGCATGTCACTGCTGATGAAGTCCATTGAGTTCATCCAGGCAGCCAGGATTCCTCAGACAAAGCTGGAGAAATCCTGCCTTGAGCAGGAAGCTAGACTGGAAGATCTCTGAGTTCCCTTCCAGCCCTAGGAAACCCATGTTTTATTTAGGGGGATGTAGCTTTTGCGTGTTGAATTGGCTTCAGCAGTAATTTTGGCACCTAGAGGTTTCTGAAACATGTGCCAGCTGCTTGGAATAGCTATTATTTTCAGGTAAAGATGGGTGACACCAAATTACTCTAATCAAATTACAAACGGTCCCTGCTGACTTTTAGACAGGATTTTAAACAAGACAGTTATGTCATGAATTCTGGCATGATTTCCAGAAACAATTTTTCTTCTCCATTGTAAAGCAGCAGGGTTCAAAAATTAGTATGTTTTGCCAAAAATGTTGGGGCGTGCTCCTTTTTCAGTCGATAGAATTGTCTGTTGCAGAGTAAGACGGGGCATACAATAAAACAGAACTCTCTTATTTTTTTTAGAGAACCAGCTTCATAACCATATACAATTTATGGGTCCATAACCATATACATAAAACCTGTTTTAATTTAGCATCGATGTATAAGTGATATCTAAACTTTATCAAAGAAGTCTACCTTGCCAGAAATAGTCTAGTTTATTTTTCATATAGAGCACATATAGCTGTATTTTTTAAAATTAAACATTGGCTAAAGTGCTGTCCAATTTGATAGCGCGTGAAGAGTTCAAAAATTGCAGTCCTTGATGTCTCCTGCCTCCTTTGCAGAGCAAGAGATAAATTCACTTCTGCTTTCTTCAACAAAGCCCTGAATCAAACTAAACAGGGCTCTAGTTTAACAAAGCAATTTTTCTTCTTTTATTCCGCCCCCCGTTGACGTAACAGTCTGGGGAGTAAGGAAAATAACTCCAGGCTGCGTCTTCAGGGGAAAGCATTCTTCCCACTAGATTCTGGTCCAATTTGTGATTGAGTAAGAGGCAGCCTTCAAAATATATTAAAAGGCTGCATTCAGAGACCTCAGCTCAATTTCTCCTACTTTGTAGTAATTGCTTAGAGGCAATGTTGCATTTTCAAGATGCCAAACTTCTCCCACATAAAGATTTTATCTTTCTAGAAAGATCATCTTTATTCATCTCTGTAGTCAGAAGAATGGAATGTTGAAAACACCAGTTCATAGACAGATGTCCTTCTTCCTTTTACTTACAGTCACATTATATATATATAATGTGTGTGTGTGTGTGTGTATATATATATATATATATATATATATATATATATATATATATATATAAATAAATAAATAAAAATCCATCGTGTAGAACAAGGGTCTTCAAACTTGGCAAGTTTAAGACCTGTGGACTTCAACTCCCAGAATTCCTGAGCTAACGTGACTGGAGGAGGAATTCTGGGAGCTGAAGTCCACAAGGCTTAAAGCTGTCACATTTGAAGACCCCTGGTGTAGACTTTGAGCTGTCTCAAAATATCCTTTTGCGTTTGGCATCAATTTCTAGAAGAACAGTCGCACATCCCCTGGCAGAGGCACTGACAAAAACCGTACACAAGACACACGGTCAGACTGGATGGCACGAGACTGACACAGACAATTCCCAGAGTGACTTTCTGAATCACTAATAAATAGATGCCAAGGGGCAAAGAACCGAAGTAAAAAAACCCAAGCAGCCACACTAGTATTCTGGGAACATGATTACAGAGCTTGGAGAAAACGTCTTGGTCCAGCTGGTTGGTGGAATTGACAGATTCTGAGTCCAGGCTGTGATCTGTGTAATAATCCGAGAGGCTGTTTTGACTGGGAGTCCAGCTGGCATCTCTCTGGACTTCCATGATGGTTATCACCAGGCAGTTGGAGGAGCCGCGCGAAGGACTTGACGAAGCCAAGTTCTTTGGGGTCAGGAGGACTTCCTTGCACTCTGAATTCCATGTCGACTTGTCTCTGGTCACCAGTCTGGACAAGATATTTAAGTCATCGGGGAGCCCTTCTACTTCTTCTTCCCGCAGCTCCGTTTCATGCCGGCAGAAAGGGCAGCTAATGCGAAGTGAGCCGCTTCCTACCTGAAGGATTTTAGTTAGGCATTTTGCGCACACTCGGTGGAGGCAGTCCAGGAGTTTGGGCTTGCGGCTCTGGAGGGTGAATTTCTGGTAACAGATTTTGCACTCCAGCTCCTCGTTCAGCACTTTTTCTTCCCCGTCAGTTTGAGGATAATTCATCTTCCTGTTTGGCACACTGTCAAAAGAGAACAGCCGTGAGTTTCCCTACTCTTTCTTTTTTTAAATCGGGCCTTTTTCGTAATGGTGTAGTATTTCTGTAGTTGCATTTATTTGTTTGCTGGAAGAGGAGATACATTAAAATTGATTAAATCCATTCTCATTAAATTTCTCATTATGAATGTGTTTAATTTCATATAATTTTACATAGGGTTTTTTTTTTACCTCTTGTGTCATAAAATCTCCTGGAAGTTGTGTTTCCAACAACTGATTTTGGGACATATTCAACCTTTTCTTGACTGTTTGAGCACCATTTACAACTTTTCCTCAGATTATCTTCTAGCGTCATTTTCTTCAAAGTACAACTGTAATTTATTAACTCAAAAGTTGATGAGAAACTAGTCTTGCTTCCTGTTGTTTCCGAAGCCAAAATATTTAGACACGTGGAAAGCTATCTTATTGCTGCCATGATATTATTGGTCCTTTCACAGTTGTATTATTTACTCTACTGTAATGGCAGTAAGTTTTCCAGGATTTCAGATAGGACTGTGAAAAACTTCTAGCTGGAAATGGCGATTGAAGACCAGCTTCAATTCTGGAAGTTGACGTACACACAGCTTAAATTTCTCAAGGTTGAGAAACACTAAACTAGAGTAATAATCTATGAAATTTTTAAAAAACAGTGCTTAAACCACTGTGGGACTTCCTCAGATGTATCCTTACGTGATGCTGAGAAGTTAGAGAAAGAGGCGAGCCCAATATGAGCTGATATAGGTGGCAAACATTTGACTTTCCATTTTATCTTGTATCCTGGAAACTTTCATTGGAACATTACGTTGTCTTCTATCCATCTTAACTGATTATTTGGGTGACATTGTATAGTATCTGCACCAGATTAAAGGTGAAGTCCTACATGCTTTTAAAATAATGTTTACAGAATAAGTTATTTTTATCCAAACAAGTATTTTTTTTTAAACTGGATTAATATCCAGTGAAAGAAATAAACAAAAGAAAGGAAGCTTCCTCATTTACTTTATTAACGGATAAAAAGTCCTCGTAGACACTACTAACATTCAGGAAGTCCATTTGAGCAGTGCAGCTATATGCATCAAGCTATTACTGGATCAGGTGTTTTACTACCCTATGAGCCTTCAGAATGGAATCAAGTGTGATCTAGACTCTGGTCTGACTAAAGTTTAATAGAATCTACGTTTTTATCCAGATTAGATTAAACAACAAAAGTAAAACAATGTGTATCATAACCAGCTACAAATAAATAAATAAACAAACAGAAAAGCTTCTAAGGATGCATCTCTGGACTGACTTAAAGTAGATGGGCTAGTATGATCTGATCACATTTTCAAACGCTTAACTGGCATCAGTTTCGAACATGGAAGATGTAACGGGTGAAACTATTCCATCTGATCCCCTCTTGGCTATCTTATCTTTTGCAGGGAGCTTTAGCCAAGGAATGCCTTGGAGTAAATGTACTATATGTGAGCCTGTCCCCATGAAACTCAAACACCCTCAAAGCCCTAAATGACAACTACACTCACATTCCTTGTAATAAGCAAGGTCTTCATACTCTGAGTGCTAGATTCCCGTGAAAGTTTCAAGCGCCGAGAGATGAAATGGGCAACACATCCAAATGCTATTGAAATCTGCTTCGGTATTTATGTATAGACTCCTATGTGAAATTTTACAGGCTGCCTAATTCAATGTTACTTCATTTTGTTTTATTCATGAAAATCACTGCAGAGAGCTGATTCTCCAACCATAGACTTGAAGCAGGAATATAGCCTTCACCCTCAGAGTTGTTGTTAACCCGGTCAATCTGCATTTGTTGGCAGGAAAATACTTGTTATAAGCAATAGACCTGACGACAGAGGTGCTTGTCTAATGAAGCCTTCTGATTAATTTTGATTATTCAGAGTCTAATGCCATGTTTGTACCAATATAGCTCCATCTGCCCATCAGCCTTTTTCAAAAGAAGGCATATGAAGTGCGAGAGAAAGGAAAAAGGAGTTAAATTCCAGGATCTAGAATGAAAACAAATACCTAGCCATCCTGGTCACGGAAGCATCAATTTGCAAAGCTGAGGTTGTTTCTTTTCCCATTCTGGTGCTTAGATTAAAGGGCAACCCATAACGTAGAGGCCCATCTCTTTTGTCGTTACCTGGACAGGGATCCTTAAAACTTGACTGTTGATCTTGTAGAGCAGCAGGTGTGTTTAAAGTCTAGCTGCTCATCCTGTCTAGTCAAACCAACATTGGGCTTTGAAGCCTATTGCCTTTCTAGGAGACAAAAACCTAGAACGAGACCACACAGTCCGCCAAGGCAGTGACATCTTTGCCGTCTTCGTTGGCAAGCTGCACGCTAGTTTAAAAAAACAAAAACAAAAAACGCTCGAAGAAAGATGACCCGATTGTCTCTCTTCAATCCCACCTACCTGATTTGTTCTCCGAACCGGGCGTCCCGTGACTCAGGACGAAGGAGCAGCCGCGAGAAGGACCCATCTCCCCTCGTAGCCGGTTAGGGTCCATCTATGCCCCTGCAGTAGCCTCAAAGCCGGGCTTTTGAGCTGAGTTGATTCTCTTCCAACTCTCACAGGTGTATAAAAAGACTGCGGCAGGCAAGCTGGGAGACATCAACCTCAAAGTGACCGAGCAAGAGAAGGACTTCGCAGGGAAGACGGCTCAGTACCAGCGAGAAATGAAACACCTCCAGCGGCTGCTGCAAGAGAAGCAGGAATCCCTCGATGAAGCTCTGCAGCAGAAGAGGTAAGTTAACACGCGAGCCTCCTTCCCCCGAAACGAATTGCATCCCATTGGTTAGAAAAGGGGAGGGAGGACGGGGTGGAGGGGGGGGGAGCGGACACAGAATGCAGAACTTGCTGAAAGAGCCCCACCTGGTGTGCTCTGCCTGCATTCGCTCTTCTTTGGGATTATGAAAATGCCAGTCTCCCTCCTTCCCCCTCCCTGCCTCCCCCCTCAGCCTAACGAAACCTTGAAGGAAGTAATTGATTGCAAGGGGTGACAACAACCAGCTTAACAAATCCTGCCGGCTGCTTGTCGCGTCTTCCCGAAGAGACGCAAGACAGGCAGGAGCGATTAAGTTTTTGAATTCGGTTTTCAATCCTCTCCAGAGTGAATCTGTGGTCCTACGTCGGCTGGTTTCACAGGGATCCCACCCCCCACCCCCACCCCACCAGCAAGGGACTGATCAGTCCCAGGTGGTCAGTTCTTCTTAGAAACCAACCTGGGAGGTTGGTTAAGGAGGCTTAGCAAAATGTTTCCTGAATGGGGAGGATTCTCACAGCGAAGACACAGGTAACAAGCCAAGAATTGGCCAACTCTTGGCTGAAGGAAGGTTTTCTGTGTTAGAGTAATTCGTAAAGTGTGATGCTTTTTTTTTAATTTCCCCCACTGTGGGTGGGAAGGAAGGTGTCAGAGAACGTTTTGATGACTACGGTTATTTTTAAGCAACACAGGAGATGGTTAATTGAGCAGTATTCTTTGCAGATCATCTCCAACCATTGTTTGATAAAATAATGGAAGTCACAATTCAAGCCGTGTGCCATCTGTGTCTACAATAACCACTCGCCCATTACAGGGTAAATTGCATGATCAGACCCACTGCTGATTTCTTCACAAAGTGTGCACCCTGTGAAGGAAACCACCTGTGCCACAGTGCGCAATGTATCACCTCCTTGTTTGCTATGTGCCTTACAGTGGAGGGGGGAGGAGGTGCACAGGATGTGTTCGGTGCATCCATGCCCCCAATGTGCAGGAAACACAAACGCCAGCCTCTTACAAGATCATTTAAAAAGAATAAAAATAATCTTTTCCATCTTTCCTCCCTCTGATGCAGCCTGGTAAAATGGATTATAATGAATTAATCATTCTGTAAATGGTTAAACATCTAACTACGGTGACTATGTTTATTTATTATTTTTTAAAATGTGATATACAAGAAAAGATTGTAGGACAATGTGGTCGAAAGGCTTTACTGAAGCCAGATTCCTTCAGTGTTGGATTGAGTTCCACTTGCAGTTCTTCTGAAATCTGAAATTGCTTTAATGTTTTCTTTTATGTTACAGCCTGTCATGCAAAAAACAGATTTCTCGACTCTCGGGTCAGCTATCTGGCTTTTGATCTGTGAAAGCCTTCCACCCCCACTGCCCTTGTTCGAAGAATAGCAGAAAGAGGGAATTATTGATTGGTGGTGGGGTTGTTCTGAAGCATCTGTAGCTTGGCAACGAGAATCTGGAGTGCTGGGCTAATTTATAATGTTGTTGTTGATTTGTTCCCACCAGCTTACTTAAGGACAACATGTGTTGTCTGGGAAATTGTTCCCAACAGATAGAAATTTCAGCAACACATTAAAACTAATGTCAGGAAACAGACAGCCTTAACCCTCTGTTCTCCTCCTCCTCCCTCCTCCTCCTTCCTCCTCCTCCCGCTAGCTCTTAGCCAACCGAAAGATTTCACAGTCTTCTTATAACACTCTAATAAAACAATTTGAAATAAAATAAAAGAACTTACCAGGATTCCTCATTTGTTCCCTAATAACACAGGATCTAAAACAGAATTTGACAAAGTACTGTCACTGTTGGAATGTGCCTGGAGTACTTTGACATAAAATGTATTTAGTGTACCTGGAAACCTTCTTCGAATTTATTTGAAAGCAGTCAGGATCATTATAAAATTGATAGTATGCTGTCTGTATAATAGCATATTGATCATGTCCTGCACCATGGATATTGTACAGTGATTAGAAGGCAGTATTGCAGGCTACTTAGAGCTGCCCATTGTCAGGCGTTCGATCCTGACTGGCTCAAGATTGACTCAGCCTTCCATCCTTCCGAGGTGGGTAAAATGAGGACCAAGATTGTTGGGGGCAAGAGGCTGACTCTGTAAATCACTTAGAGAGGGGATCCCCAACTCCCGGTCCATGGACTGGCACTGGGCTACGGCATGCCAGTAACTGGGCCACACAAACAAGCGAAGCCCCATCCGTGGGATGCAGGCAGTCTGTGAAACTATGCCCCCTCTGGTCTGCGGGAAAAAAGCTTCTGTCCATGGAACCCGTCCCTGGTGCCCAAAAAGTTGGGGGCCGCTGATTTAGAAAGTGCTGTAAAGCACTACGAAGAGGTATATAAGTCTACGTGCTATTGCTGTTGCCATCTTGTTTTGACTGATCTTGAATGATTCTTCTCTCTCTGTGAGGAGAAGAGGCAAAGTTGAAGACAAAAGAAACCAGCTAAGGTGGAAGCCGTGCCATTTCTTCAAGGTTACGGAGAAATTTAGCCAGGCTTTGCTTTTTAAGTTTTCCATTCTTCAAGAAAAAAAAAAGAAATGTTGTCATTTATCTGTCTGTACAGCAAATCAATTTCTTGTTATTTGCTATCTTACAACCTCATTTGCTTTGAGGAATCTCAAGAACTGTAAAGTGAATGGGAATGAATGACAACTTCATATACGGTCATTTGTCTGTTAAGTCTTCCATCTTGAATGAAAAGTTCTAGTAGGCTCAAGGGAGCTAAGGCCTCCGGGAAGTAAGTCAATTTTAGCCAGTAGGTGGTCTTGACTGTCCCACTCACTTTGTAGATCTTGCCGCCAGGTGAAAGTCAGTTTTAGGGACACGATGGTAAAAAGATTGAATTGCCTTCAGAAGGGAAAAGTAATTGCACACGTAAACCTTAGTACCCTATAACAGACAAATAAGTCTCTTGTCCTAAAACAATTCAAGATTTTATATTTTTTATATTTTTTTCTCATAGGCTATGGGGAATTTGATATAGTTCCCATTTTAAAAAAAATCTTAAAATGTCTGAATTCTGACAAATAATTTAAACATTAGTGAGCAGAAGAGGCAGTTAGGAGCTACATATTGTTCTCTACTGCCCTATAAGAAGTTTTTTTTTTCTTCTGTGATGGCTCATGTCTTTTTTTAAACTACAGATAGTCCTTGACAAGTAACCATTCATTTAGTCACTGTTTGAAGTTACAACGGCACTGAAAAAAGTGACTTATGACCGGCTTTAACAGTTGTGTGATCCAAATTTTCGTGCTTGGCAACTGGCATGTACTTATGACAGTTGCCCTGTCCCGGGGTCTTATGATCACCATTTGTAACCTTCCCAGCCAATTTCCAACAAGTAAAGTCAATAAGGGAAGCCAGATTTGTTTAATGACCACATGATTCACTTAACAACTGCCGTGATTCACTTAACAATGGTGGCAAACAAGGTTGTAAACTAGAGCAAAGCTCACTTAACAATTGTCCTGCTTATCAAGGGAAATTTGGGGCTTCAGCCAAGATTCTTTTATATTCCTAAATAAGAAAGGACGTGACTGTATCCCTGGATCTTGATAATTGTATTTATAAGAATTTTAACAGGAAAAAATCCCTGTCTTTGCATACGTGAACCCTTGAGATAATACAGCTCACCTTATCCCAAATTGGTGGTCTCCAGTTTTGTTGGGCAGCAGCTCCCATAATTCAGTACATTTGAGCATCACAAATTGGAAGTCGGGTCGCATCTCCGACAGATGTTAACGCCTAACAAAATGGGTCATTCAAAAGAAAAAATGAACTGCATAGAGAATCCTTAACCCTTGCTCATTCATTGATCCATGCTGTCATTAATAAGAGAAAGGAAAGTTAAAGTAATTCTTTGTGATGTTTCCCTGAACTAGCTGCAGATAAGAGAATGAAGATATGAGAACATTTTATTGAACATTAGCTTAGAGATCCTTAATCATTCTTGTTCAGAGTACAGGGTGTACCTTTACCATCAGGCAAGATATTAAAATTAATGCAATTGTTCTGACTATGCTGATTGATCGCTCACCTCCAGAGTGCCGCTTAAACATGGAGGGCGAGGAGCATGCAAACCCAGCGCATCCTTCTTCTTTTTCTTTCTTCTCAGAGAAATGGAAAGTGAACTTGAAATAATTTGGGAGTCAACCGCCAAAGAAAACCAGAGGATGAAGGAACTCTTGCATAAATCTCTGGAGAAGAACGTACAGAATTCGGTCAACGCTGCTTATGAATCGCCATTAACTGACCTTTCTCAGAAAGTCCTGCTGGGCAGATACAGTTTTAGCTACTGCGATGTGGAAGGGTCCTCACCCCCTCGAGCTCCGAAGGAAGAAGAAGACTAAATATTAAGGAAGTGGTCGTCCCTGCTTCCTCCAAGGCAAAGCAGGATTGGAAGAAGCAAATATAAAAGGGCAAAAGGGAACCTAGTCGGAAGCGAAGTATGATTTAGCCGTTGGGTTGAGAGAGATCTTCACGGACGTGATGAGCATTGTATGATAAGGGACCTTTCAAAGCCCCAAGAAGCAGCTTTCATGCAGAAAAGCATGTTTCTTGCCTTGACGGTTACAAAGAACATACAGTGGTACCTCGTTACTCATCATTAATTGGTACCGGGAAGCGCAATGAGTACCAAAAATAACAAGTACCAAACAAATTTTTTCCCATAAGGAATAAGGTACTGAGTCACAAGGCTGCCAACTCTGACAATTTCCAGCTTATGTGTTAAGTACCGAACAAATGATGAGCACCGGGGTGAAATTTTCGTGTTGAAATGCGTTGAATGCTAAATTCAATGGGTTTCAAAGTAGTTGAGTACCAAGGTACCACTGTACAGATTTAGTACTTCAAAAAGGGGGAGGTCTCTCAACAAAGCTTCTACTTGATAGGCAGGGCAGATCCTTCTTTCAGGACCAACTCTGCCTCTCTTAGGGTTTCCGGATGGCCCCTTTTACCTATTCTGAGAACGAACACCTTCCTAGAAGAAGCCCCATTAAATATAGTATTTAATGGAAGCCAGAGTTTGAATAGTGTTGCCAATACAACATTTAGATGCTTAAACCAAAGAAAAACTGAATTTGAATAGATTTTATATAATCCCTTGCACTCTCTATTAAGCAACTAGAGATGTGGGAGTGAAATGGCTGAACTTGATTTAGCTGAACTTTTATAAAGGTATGGACAAAAAGGATAAGAATATATATTATATAGTCTTTTACTGAAGAGCTGAGAAATTCTTGTTTTTAAAAGTTACATGTCATTTCAGTTGGAGACAAAATTTAGTTGATTTTTATATGTATAAAGGACTGTTTGAAAATAAAGAATTGAAAAGTATAAGCAATAAATAAAAGCAATATAAGGAAAGAACATATATGTACAGCAACATGACTAATTAGGAGAAAAGATGAATACTTTGAAATTTAAAATATGTAGAACTAAAATTATAACTTATGGTTCCTCATATATCATGGAGGCAGTAGCCTTATTTGATTGTTTGAATGTAGGTAGCTACATCATTAAATTTCCATCAGAATTGTTACATTTCAGGGAGTCTCTTACCGGAGGCAATTAATAAGAAAGCACAAAAAACTTGTCCATATCCATATTTTACAAATGTACAAGACTTGGGCAAAGCCAGATTTTTTTAAAAAAAATATGTATTGATAAAACTGTTAAAAGCAAGACCTCATTCCCTGTCTTTTCTAAATCATCCAACTCTCTAAGCTGGTAATTCCAGGTTTTCCTTCTTTCTATCCTTTTGTAACATATCAGTGTCTTTCAAGCTTATCAAATAATCGGCCATTATTTATCCAATCATGGGGGGAAAAAAATCTGAAAGGTTCCCTAAATGCTTCCATGCTCCAGCTGCATCCCTTGCTCTTTCCTTCTGAGGGATGGGCACAGGTTGCAGCGCCCTCCTTGTAACAGCAGCGGAAACCCGCCTGCACCAGGTTGCTGGGACCAGGTGGACACTTGACATTTCTTTTTCTCCCTCTTCCTTCTTTCCTAGAACTCGGCAGCCCTTCCTTTTTTTTTCTTTTCTTTTCTTTTCTTTTTTTTACATGGTCTGGGGTACCAAGCGGGATGGAACACCTCAGAGCGGAGAACGTTCTCCATCCACGCTTTAGCTGGTTCTTATAAAACATTTTCAAAAAGATGCTTTTACGTTCCCTCCTCGCTCAGGAATTACCGTGACTTGCTTTGGTTTGACAGTTCTGCAAACGGAAGCAAGTACTTTTATCCTAAGCTCCCCTTTGGCACAAGAGTCGCTTCTGAAGCTATTCCACGTGTGCTGGTTAGACAGTATATAGTTCGTTGGGAATGGGAGCTGTCCCCTTAAGGAAATGCATCATGGGAAACGTAGTTAATGCCTCATGGAGATGTAGTTCATGTACATACACACTATCAACCATCTCATTGGCATATGCAGCAAAAGAAACTCCTGGGACATTATTTTAACCAGTCGTATAACTTCACTGATAGAGCCATACAGGCACAGGAGAAGCAAGGCTAACTCTGTCTAACCAGCACACCGCGGCTTTTGAATTCAACGTTCAGAGTACTATCCAAGGTGCTGGCTGAGTTCTTACTTTGCAAAAGCCATAACTGGTTTCGACCAATTTCCCTTATTTCTTTGGTTTTTCTGGCTGAGCCACTCTTGTGAGCATCTTGGAATATGCTGAACTCTCTTCTTTAGAACTACATAGAGGGTGTCCATTGTCAGGGTCTGCGCCTAAACCCAGATTGTGTTTACCTGTGCATAAACTACAGCGTTGCACTCTTTTGCATTGTTTATCTTATTGCGCTATCATCTTACTTCTGTTCACACTGTTTTAATTCCTTCCTTTTTGTTGTTGTCAGCTGTCTAGAGTGTAGCCCCACGGGGAAATAGGTGGCAAATAGATTTAACCAATAAATAAATAATAAATTCCGTTTTGGTATGTCCCTTTAAGCACTGATTCTTTATTGGGCTGGGCAATTCTGAACAGTTACTTGCGACGCCCTGGAGCTCGGTCCGCACAAAGCATATTACTGTCTGAATGTTATCTTTCAAGCCATAAATAGGGTTCTCTCATGGCAATTCAAACATAAAAGGGAGATTTTGCACTCTTATCTGCTGTCTACTAAACTCCTCTGTCTCTCCCTTCCTCCCCCACTGTTTTTAATTTGTCCTAATGATTGGTTGGATAAATCTGTAATTTCATAAATGCTGACAGTTGCATACTATTTACAGCTTTGGATGGTTTCCAATTATGTATTTTTTATAATAATAAAATACTTATTTTAAAGGGCACAGAGTTCATATGCTATTTTTTTTTCTTGCTAGAGCAATTGTCTAAAGGGAACCCTGAATATTTAGGACATGAAAGAGCCCCTAGTCTGCAAGACGCCCGTCATTTGAAATTCAATATCATCCTATGAAATGCTGGCAAAGATGCAGAATAACAGCGGAATGGTTGATGCTGATTTATTCGTGGCTAATTGGACTTTTAAAGAGCAAATCTCCAAGAATCACGGATGCTGTCTGAGATTAAAGAGAAATTGTGGAGAATCACTGTCAGGGTGTTCCCCACAGCTCTGGATATAAAAGAGGAGATAAATACACAGAATTAATGATTAGAAGTGTTTTTTCCAACTGGGAGATCTCCTGCAGCTCATCAAAGGAAATGGCCTTCTCCCTCACCTTTTTTTAAAAAAATACTTGATCCTTTTTTTAAAAAAAAATCAATTTTCTATTAAGGCTGAATTGGCAGCAGACTTAATTGAATATATACACAGAGGCAATACTTCCCATGTTATTTTCACCCTCCAGAAAAAAGAGCATTATCTACAATATTTATGGCCTGCCAAAATTAATATTAGATGATTATTTCTGCATTTATAACACATTGCAAGGTACTAGCTCATGGAGTTCTCAATCCCAATGTATTTTGGCCTTCCCCTGCTGTTAACACCTTTTCTAATAATTGTCAATTTTATGGATTGCTTTTATTCTTTTTCTCAATATTTTAAGAGATGTTTAACTGAGAGCAGACTTGAATAGGCAACATTAGATCCGTCCACGAGGTTGTATACAATTTCTTCTAGCAACGTTCAAAATAATTGCTCGTATAAATTATCCAGTTTATCCAGAATTTAGAAACAATGGAGAAATGAAACAATGTTTATAAAGAGTAAGGGAGGGAATATTTTGGCTTAGTGACAAGGAGCTAGAGAAATTATCAACAGAATCCCTAGATATGGTGATTTTTAGCAAAGGTTTTTAAATTAGGAGGTAGTCATGTAATTCCAAGAATAAAAAATTGCAGGGAAATCTGGGACATTGGTATTAGTTTGTCCTTAGTTTAACCATTACAATTTTAGCTTTTTCGGTGGTTTTCATATGAGGCTCATATATAACGGAAGCACTTTTATATATTTTGGGACAGAGGAGATGTAAGTATTATAAATCAGAATGCTCCTTTTGAGGCCAGAGGATAATTTCTTCCATCCCCAACCTTCAAATCAAAAATAGCCTCTGGAGATTAATGTTTGATGTTATAAAAGGTGAAATGCGTTAAATGTTCCCAGTGCAAACATGCTGATATTTTAAAGTACGGTCACTTTTAAACTGAGGGTCTGCTTTGTAGCTTTCATCCTCTCTTATTTATTTATTTTATTTATTTATTAGATTTATCTGCCGTCCATCTTATCTGCGCCACTAAGACGCCAGTTTCTATTCTGGGTAGATCTTCGATGTTGAAAAGCCACAGGTTCAGACTGATAAAAGAGCGAAGGAATTCTGCTTATCTCCAGAGTGAATGCAGTATTCTTATTTTCCTTCCTTCTTTTCCTGGTTAATGATCTGCAGGACTCTTCTTGGGTCTTGCAAATGTTTCTTAAGAACCTCTGGGGAGGCGCTTGGCGAAGACAAACATGTCTTTGAAAGCAAATTAAGAGACAAGTTTGTTCAGAGCTTTTAAAAGTTCTGAATGTTTAGCAAGACAAGATTCTTTTCCAGATGCCATCCAAGACTCCATCCAAGATTACATAGCCCGGGCATTTTTCTCCAATTCCCCAGCCTGGCTTTTAACTTTCTTATCAGTATTATCTTACAAAAAAAGCCTGGTTAACAGGTTTGTAATTCCCAGGATCCTCTTTTCAAAGATTGGTGCTAGCCTGGCCATCTTCCAGGCCATCGGAAAAAAGGGATGATTTGTGAGCCCAGTTACATATTTCAGTTAATAGCTGAGCAATTTCATGGTTTTAGACCCAGAAGGACATTACAAGAGCTACTGTGACTTGTTAGTTTTCAGTTTGTCCATCCCTCCTTTCTACCCTCGGTTGGACATTGTTTTTTTAGATGCCCAATTAGGAAAAGGAAAAAAAAAAACAACTTTTGGGGATGCAAAGGAATTCTCTAGGAATTGTAATTAACCATTGGATCTCGCTAGAATTTCCCCCTCTCTCTTTACCCTCCTGGCAAGTTTTATGGCTCCTTTAAACCAGGGAGTAGAGAACATCTTTCTTATCTAGCCAGCCTTTGTGCCTTTGGCACGTCCAGCAATATAGCTGCATTATTTGCACGAGTGCCTTAGAATCTACATAGGGAGCTGGCATGCAGCATGTTTGATGATTTAGCT